AATTAGACTAGCCAAGTATAAAGCTAGCCGTCTGATAGACACTTACGGTGTATGCGCACATCCGCCTTCTATAATAACTCTAAACAGAACCAAGAGGAAGGTATGTACTTAGTTTTTGTCTCTGGTAAAGGGGAGACCGTTAAAACACCCCCAGAGATAGAAAATGTCGTCGCAAAATACCTTGATCTGTTTGAGGAGCCTTCAAGAGTTGTAGAACGGGAGGATGTCCATGGCATAGAGATAGTTCTAGGTAGCAAGAAACCCAAAGGAAGGATTTATAGGATGGCACCGCCTAATTAAAGTCCGGCTACCATCAAATTGCCATTAGACCAGAGGACCAACACAAAACCGCATTCCAGACCAGGTACGGTCTGTACGAGTTTGTGGTGATGCCCTTTGGCCTTAGCAATGCGTCGGGTACATTCCAACACGCCATGAATAGGATATTCCATGACTTCTTAGATAAGTTTATTGTTGTGTACCTCGACGATATACTTATCTTTAGTAGAACAGTTGAGGAGCATGCCCAACATTTAGAGATTGTCCTTCAGTCCTGCGACAACACAAGTATAAGATTAACTCAGAGAAATGCGAGTTTGGTCCCACGAAAATCTTATACTTGGGTCATGAGATATCCGCGGATGGGATAAGGCCTGAAGATGCCAAGGTGGCTAGCATTCGTGACTGGCCACGACCTCAGTCGGTGACCGAGGTCAAATCATTCTTAGGGATGATTGGCTACTACCGCAACTTTGTCAAGAACTATAGTACGGTGGACAACCCTTTGACTGATCTAACTCACCTTGACACACACACCATGGGAATGGACTGACGAGTGTGGAGCTGCTTTCAAGTGATTGAAGCATGCTCTCACACACCATGAGGTTCTCATGGTTCCCGATCCTGAGAGGCCATTTGTTGTTACCGTTGACACAAGCCAATATGGCATTGGCATAGTGCTGGCTCAACAGGAAGGGAAGAAGTTGAGGTCGGTCGAGTACATGAGCAAAAAGATGCCTTCTACGAAGTTAGTGAAGTCCACCTATGAAAGGGAACTCTACGCCCTCTATAAGGCACTTGTCCACTGGAGACACTATCTGTTGGGAAGGTTCTTCTATTTGAGGACTGACCATCAGACACTCAAGTGGATCAAGACACAACCTGTTCTTTCTGATGCACTCAAACGCTGGATTGAGGTCATAGACCAGTATGACTTCAAACTAGACTATGCAAAGTGAAAGTACAACAAGGTTGCTGATGCGCTATCATGTAGGGCAGACTACCTGGGTGTGCTAATAACCGAGTTTGGCTTATTTGATGATGTAACTCGATCGTTGGTGGAAGCCAATCAGGAAGATCCTGTCACGATGGACATCATACACAAACTTAAAGCCATAGACAAGGGCACATCGTATGAGTTTGTGATGGTGGATGGGTTACTTTTCCTTGAGAAGGCAGGGTTTAAAAGATTAGTTGTTCCAGCTAGGGAAATTTTGTGTAGTTTATTTTTAGGAGAATGTCACCATGCAATGGGACATTTTGGCTATAAGAAGACTAGTGCGAATCTGATACAACGATTTTGGTGGCCTGGTATGTAAGAAGAAGCCAAACAGTACGCTCAAACTTGTCAAGTCTGTCAGTGGGACCAGTCGTGAACTCAAACTCCGCTTGGGTTACTCAAGCCCCTACCCATTCCCGCTGGTCAGGGACAAAGTGTTTCCATGGACTTAATGGATACCCTCGTGACCAGCAAGAGTGGCAAGAGGCATATCTTCGTCATAGCTGATAGGTTTACTAAGTTTGCCAGACTGATTGCCATGCCGGAGACCGCGAGGACTGAGCACGTCATCAAGTTATTCATGGATAACTGGGTGCGTGACTTTGGATTGCCAAAGACTATCGTCAGTGATAGAGATGTTCGTTTCACAAGTGAAATGTGGAAGAAGGCTGCAGATCAGATGGGCAACCAACTCCATATGACTTTTGGGAATTATACCAAAGCCGACGGGCAGGCTGAACAGATGAACCGAGTGGTGCAGCATCTGCTAAGGCATTACATAAAGCCCAGCCAAGATGACTGGGATGAGAAGTTACCTCTCATCTCTCATCGCCAGCCTGTATAACAACGATGTGCACAACACCACCGGAGTCAGTTCGAATCAGCTGCACTTGGGGTGGAAGCCTAAATCTGCTCTAGACTTCCTCCTGCCTGAAAATCGACCTGCCGCAACTCCTGGAACCATTGAATTTGGTATCCAGTACGAGAAGTTGTTGCAGCAAGCTGTTGAGCACATCAAGAAATCTCAGGAAGCAATGATCGCTTATGAGAACAAGCATCGCTGACAGTCCACATTTTAGGTAGGGGAACGTGTCTGGGTTAAGGCTAGTGAGTTAAGACAGGAATTCGGCATCTCTACAAAACTAATGCCTCAGTACTTCGGTCCTTGGGAAGTCTTAGATATTGTGGGTAGTGAAGAGGATGGTCCCTCGTATGTACTTCGAATCCCCGGTCACCTACGCACTTACCCTATGTTTCACGCCTCAAAGCTTACACCTTTCGCTGAGACTCAACAGTTTCCATCAAGGAGATCTATGCTGCCCCCAACCATGGATGGCCACGTGGACATCGACAACATCTTGGAGCACAGAGACATGCCTGTTCCTAAGCCTGTCGGCAGAGGAAGAGCGCCAAAACCCAAAAGGGAATACAGGGTCAGATTCAGGCATCACATGGATCCAAAAGAAGATCGATGGTTCATCAGAGAGGAACTAGTTGAAACAGCACCTTAGATTGTGGCAGACTACGAGTGAAGGTTGAAGGGGAAGGCACCTCCATAGAAGCATCTCAACGGACTTTCGAAGCTAAGGGGGATGGAATGTGAAGAATGTCCTCAGGGGCCCTTAGACAACATTCACATGTACTGCTAGTGGGCCCCCAACAAGCCTCGTGCCCGCCCTAAGTGAAGGTGGGCCTGAATCTTCATGAGAGGCCATTATCTCAGCATTTTCCAATATGGGTATCAGCCAGTTGCTGCACGACAGTTGGTTGGAGTACAACCTGAGCCTTACCCTGGGCTCTTCCAGAAGAAGCAACTGCGCCAGGCAGTTGAGCCCAGGGCCCGAGTGGTTGTGCCCTAGGCACACACATTTTGAGGGCAATACATCACAAAGTGGCCACGGGCCAACGAGAAAGCAGCATTGTCGACGTACCTACCCCGGAGGCCCGTGCAAGTACAGCAAACAGTCGGAGCCTGGAAGTATCTGGGTTTGCCCAACTGAAAACGGCCCAGGCCCTCAACTGCAGAAGCTGGGCCTGGGCAAAGCTACTGGGGCCCGACCAGAAGGTACTAGAAACTCCGATGGCCAGGCCCAAGGAGTTCAGCAGCAGCTGCGACTTCCATATAGGAAGCCAGCGAGCCAGGGCAGGTCAAGTCTGGCCAATGCCGGCATTGCGGACACGCTGCTGCGCTAGCAAGCAAGCATCTGCCCTGTGCTAGCCGCTGAGAGGCGAGGGCACTGCAGGGGCAGCGGGGCGCTAGTGGCCATAGCCGGGCTGCAGAGCGCGAGCCAGGGAGGGCGACAGGGGGTCTTCATGAGGAGGCGCGGAAGTGGGTGACATGGGGTGATGAGGGGAGGCGAGGATACGTACCTGGTGTATGTGGGAGGTCGGCATTGGTGTTGACGACATGTACATTGTGTTCAAAGTCAAAGTGAGGCCGTTGCATGAACGTAGGTAGGGTAGATAGGCAGGTAGAGTAGGCTGGGCGCTGGGGGCCAGACAGAGAGGAGTGACATTGAATACTGCGTTGGTGTGGCCTGAGGGCTTGAACATTGGCTCACAACCTCATTGTATTGCTCTTATTTGGATGGGATCTTGGTGCATTTGAGCTCTCTGCTTGTACATGACCATCTGGACTTCTGCGTGATTTTGCAACTTGATTTTCTGTATATTGCTCTCGCTCATATTCCTTGCAGGGTTTCCTCAGCATTGATTCCTTCTCTATGGACCGACAACGATGACGACTGTGCCAAGAGGGGGTCATCCAAAACAAGGGTTTCTAGCTGCTGCAGAATTTGTTCTGCAACAGTTCGTCCTGGTGATGTTAGCCCTTCAGCACAGTGGTCTATAAGCAGCTCATGTGGTTCGCTATGTTCCTGCGCGGGCTGTTGAGTTTGCTGTTCATCGGGCAAGAAAGAAGGAGATCCGACGGCATTTGCAGTAATTGTATGCCCAAATCTGCATGTGGGACATGCTATGAGAGGATGTGGTGGGTGATGGCATCGTGGATAGTCCACGCAATAGAGGCACATGCTTTCAACGACAGCTTCCTGGAAACATTGATGACACATGGCATGTTGCTGACATGTCAGCAGGAAGGCAGGTTGACGTTCGCAGCTATTTAGGCATGGCCGATTGTGTGTGTGTGTGTGTGTGTGTGTGTGAGAGAGAGAGAGAGAGAGAGAGAGAGAGAGAGAGAGAGAGAGAGAGAGAGAGAGAATGGCTGTTCTTCTTTGCACTCTTCAATGGAACAGGCATCTGTCCATGCTGCACCAGCCATGCCCGCGGGTTGTCCTCTGGGCTGCGGAGAGAATGGCTGTGTATCTCTGCATTGCCCAATTACAAGGATCCGTCCGTGCTGCACCAGCCGTGCCCGCAGGTTGTCCTCTAGGCCGTAGCTACGTGGCAGGTCTGCTTGTTTCTATCTATACTTCTGATAAGTAACGAGACACGCCTTCCTAGTAAAAAGGTCTCGAAGGCTGACTTGTTTGCTATTTAGCCTACCACTGCCTACCACCAATTGAAAGAATCCATTTATACAGCAATGCAGTTGGTGGTGAAAAGAAGGAAGAGAAAAATGATCAGCTGAGAGGTTGTCCACTAAGCAGTGAAACACAAACATCAAAACAGAAGGGAGGAAGGAAAGGGGATCATGACATAAAGAAGACCCCAGGGAGGAGTAAAAGCCATCCAACTTCCATAAATCATTTCATGTGACAGCCATGTTGTGGCCTTCGTGTTCCCCACATGGGGGGTACGTTCCGCCTCTAAGACCAACCGGAAAGACCGAGTTTTGGTGTTTGGCAGATGCCCAATCCATATTCACAATTCTGCACCCGCTTGCACATCTAAAGGGATTGTTCTGTCCATATCTCTGGAAGGACGACCTCCTTAACAGTGATAGAATAAATGATCCCAACCATATACATGAACAGGAGACGAAAGCTGAAAAAGCTAAGAGCATAGCACTGCGATTACGAGAGCCACTAATCCACAATAGCATCAAGGGAACATCAAACTGATGTGGCTGTCCAACAAATAATAATTTCAAGAAAAGATGGGAAACACAACAGCATGAAAAAGGAAAAGCAAAAAGGCAATCAGCAAAGAGGAACAGACAACACTAATCGCCTCCTGCTGTGCCCCCTCTCTCGAGTACCGGCAGTGTGGCAGTTAGATCTGAACCCTCCACCTTTCCAATGCTCTCGCGCCCAGAGCTGGATCTCCCAAGCACACCCCCGGCTCGAAGCCCCATTTCTCCCTCCAAAATTTGCCCCTTCTCTGACATTGCCGCCCCAAATGCCATGTTAGCCCTCTCTCGATTTCCCTCTGTTTGGGTGTTCACAGGCCCATCACCTCCCCCTCCTCCTCCCCCTCCTGCTCCCCCTCCTCTTTGCAGAGGCCCAGGCTTGCCAACATTTCCCTCTTGGGAAACCTGATCTTGAGGCCCAGCATTTGCTGCATTTGGAGTGGCAGCTGCCACCTGTCCCCCTGTGCTTCCCAGATTTGGATCGCCAGGTATCCAGCCCTTTGAGAGGAAGAAGTCGTAAATCCGATCCAGTTTTAGTGGGTCGACCTTGAACATTGTGTATGCCTCTGACCGCACCACATACCCGGAGATGACACTCTTCTTAATGAGGGCTTCTTTCATCTTCAAGTAGTGAACTGGAAGCAGACGACATTGGGAGCAAAGCTCCTTCTCCTGTCAACATCATTTACAAAGAGCAGTATGTCATGCCACTGTAAACAATCTACGGCCACAATGCATTAAGCCTACAGTACAAGTTCGGCAACATATATAGAGGCTTTCAGCTGCTGCACTGAAGTCAAGATTGTAACATATCAGCAAATCACAAACACATGGCCAAACAACAGGCAGAATGGAATATAATTTTCGCTTCTTTCACACACAAACACACACAATCATTTGTATGTATATCCTCCGTCTTTCTTTTCATTCTGGGTGTCCAAGTGAGCACCGCTACAAAGTGCCTAGTAGTCTGTTATGATTCTGGTTGTCTGTTGTCTGAAGACCAACAGTCACTCGCATGAACTCCCAGGTATGCCCATACATACACAGAAGGAAGGGGAGAGGATAGGAGTATCACACCGCACAGGGAGAGATAAACACAGCGGAAGACTTGACTATGCGATATGGCAGGGTACACTGAAAGTGCAATTCACTCCACTCAATCCTCACAACCAGTCATAAAGGAAAGCCGAGTAGATCACATACAAGAAACAATGAAACGATGATAGTCCAAACCCAGTATCACACTGTTTACTAAACTCAGAGTCTCGAATTGTCAGAATGACCTCAGAACTATGATGCGCTGCTCAGAGATGAGCAGCGCTTCACTCCCCAACCCTGATGAACCGCTATCACTACCCCTGAGTCCCTGAAACATCAAGCGCCACCCAGATACAGCCTCCAAAGGGAAGCGCCACACTGAAACAGGCCTCTGAGGCCAAGCGCCACTCAAAGGATGAAGAAGAAGACAAGCACCACAGTATCTGATGATGCCGACGTGTCGGAAGACTTCCCGGGTGGAAGTCTGCAGCAGCGCCACCAATCCTGACAGGATGACCTCTGAGGAAGAAGCTGCAGCTATGGCTGCAGCGCCACAACCCTGTGACCCCACTCCGGAGGAGGGTCCAGCAGGGCACCAATTTCTCTCGCCTCCAGCAGAGCTCGATAACCCAGACCTCTGACAGCCCCTCGTGCTGGCAGAGTACAGGGCAGGTCCCAGCTATGGCCGGCACTCCAAAGGTCTGACTATGCCTGTCTCCCACAATGCTGAGCCGTCACCACTTCCGGTTCACGCGTAGCACAGCAGCGATGTACTCGGTACCAACTGCCAAAAGCCCTGAACCGATGTGCCCAACCTATCTATAGTCTACTCTGGCCTAGACTCGACCTAGACCGGACTGACTGAACGACCGGTACCGATTCTGTTTCGGCCTCTAGGGCCTCTCCCAACCCGGCTATAGGCTATAGGACCATCTATCAGCTTAGCCCCTTAGGGCCTGTCTATCCTAGGGGTAGCCCGGGTCTGTTACTCGCATTTAGGATAGCTGTAGGAAATTCAGTTAGTACGGGCCTGTATTTTCCCGTATTTACAGATATGTCCCTCGCGAATTTTCCTTACAGGCAGGTCACTCGGTTAGCCCTCAGCCAAACAAAATTACAAATCTGTCCTACCTATGTTACAGCCTCGACAGAGAGAGGCTACAGGGGACCAGAAACAGCAAGTCATTGCAGACCTACCCAACCCCGGAGCGAGGACCTCCGAGCTAGGGGCGTAGACGTGCAGAGCGTTGAAGGGATTCTCCCTTCTGTGCTGCCTCATATCTGAGGATAACAGACTTGGCGGTTTTCAGAAGTTCCTTGCGAGTAAACCAGCGATCTTCAGTATGCGGCTGGTATAAGAACTTCACAAGGTACTCATCTGGACCTGTACCTGACTCATCCTCCACAGATTCCACCTCATATCCCTTGCCAGGAATAGGGGGACCAAACTGAGGAGGCTTGTCTGGAAATGCATCAGCTGAAGTGAAGGGCAGCAGCTTAGATGCATGAAAGCAGAGTAGGTTTGCAGATGCAGAGGGACATCCACTGTATAGGATGGTCCAAATGGATCACCTCCCACGGTATCTAAGACCTGCCATGGACCCATGTTTTGTGGCAGCAGCTTAGGCGAAATATCCTCCTCTGGCGACAGCTCGGAACTGAGTACCCACACTAGTCACCTGTGCGAATAGTAGAAGGACGTTTGTGCCTGTTAGCCTGCTGAATCATAGCCTTTTGAGCTTTCAGCAAGTTGGCACGAGCGCGCTCTATGTCCACACGGAGGAGTGTACAGACGTGTTATATACAAGCTGTGCACGACCCAAATGGAGATCTGTCCTGCTAATCTGGACTGATCACACGACGTAGCAACTGAAACAAAATCTGGTTCATCACTTCAGCCTGTCCATTGGCTTCAAGATGACGACCAGATGTCATATCCAGTCTGGAATGAAGGTAATCCCTGCAATAGGATTGCCACTCATTGCTGCAAAAACGAGGATCTCGGTCACTGACTATAGAGATGGGTGGTCCATGATATGTGACCCACCTATCAGCAATGCCTCCAGGACGGCTGGAACGTGAGCCTCAACTGGTAAGGGGATGAACTCTGCATATTTGGAGAACCGATCCACGCACACGATAACCTGACGCATACCACGAGGTGTGGTCCTAGCCAAGTCAGTAAAGTCAATAGACACTGACTGTGCGGGTGCCTCAGGGATGGGTAGTGGTTTGAGTAGGCCAAGGGGAGGTCGTCGTACTACCTTGTTCCTTTGGCATAACTCACAGGTTTCCACATAGTGCAGCATGTCACTCCTCATCTCCTTCCAGAAGAAGCGCTGCAACAGGGCGGCATACGATTTGAGGGCTCCAAAGTGACCACGAGCATCATAACACTGACATCAAAAGTGTTCTCAACTTGAGGTCTTGGGGAATGCACAGGCGTTCCTCACCTCTGCTGCAAGTATACAGCAGGTCTGAAACCATAGGATACCCTAGTTCAGATGCAGGATCATCCTGGAGATTCCTCACGGTAGGCCCAAAAATCGCATCCTGGGCCAGCTACCGGGCAATGGTCTGACGAGTCCTCTCTCCAAATGAGTGAGTAAAGGGAATCTGAAAGAGAGCGCCAGGCCTACGAGAAAGGGCGTCTGCTACTCGATTGTAGCAGCCCTTCTTGTATCTCAGTTCAAAGTCAAACATGTCAATGAACTGGATATAGCGAGCAAGCTTGTCATTCAGTTCTCCCCCGGACTTCATCCACTGGAGGGTGGAATGATCTAAAAAGATCTTGAAGTGCCTGCCCAGGAGGAAGTGCTTCCAATGCTTGAGCGCTGACACAAGAGCATAAAGCTCTTTCTCATAGGTTGAGTCCTACAACTTCTTTGTTTTGATCTTCTTGCTCATGTATTCGATAGGCTGCAAACCATTCCCAGCATCCTGTTGAAGTACCGCCCCTACACCATACTGACTAGCATCAGTAGTAAGCACAAAAGGCAAGGTAGGGTCCGGTAATTTCAAAACAGGGGCACGACTCAAGGTCTCCTTGAGGCGTGTGAAAGCCTCCTGACACTCTAATGTCCAAAGAAAGGAAGTGTCTTTCTTTGTGAGATCAGTCAAGGGAGCTGCGATAGAAGAGAAGTTCTGAATGAACTTCCTATAACAAGATGCAAGCCCCAAGAATGACCGGACATCACGAATGTTAGCAGGTCGCGGCAAGTCCTGAACTTCAGAGATATGGAGATGTCGTCAACTCAATGTCGCCCATACGGAGCTCCAAAAAGAGTCTCCCAATGCCTCTGTCCAGATATCGGTTAGAGTCCAAAATCACCAAGTATCTCTCTCTCTCTCTCTCTCTCTCTCTCTCTCTCTCTCTCTCTCTCTCTCTCTCTCTCTCTCTCTCTCTCTCTTAGAAGAAGAAGAAGGAGAAGAAGAAGAAGAAGATAAGGAAGAAGAATCAGAGGGAGGGAGGAGGAAGAGAAGTGATGGAGCTGGAGGGAGACGAAGAAGAAGAATCCTCTCGAAGTCTCTCAAAGGTGGAGCCAGATACTGACCAGCGTAAAGGTGTCTCCCTGGAGCTATGATGCAGGTGGAAGATGCCCGAAGACGAACAGGAGCTATGGCGCCAGGTAAATCCGCAGGTGAGTCTCTCATAGTCTGGCCTCCGCCATCAACCTCCTACTCTACTACTCTGCCCATCTCCTCTGCCGAAGCTGCGCTGCCCAACATCATGTGGACCTCAACCTCTAACTCTGCGTCCACAAATGAGGCTGGCCCAACTATATATACTGTTGGGCCTACTGTTGTGTGGCCCAAAATGGAGTGAGCTTGGCGCCCAACCGGAAAGTTCTGAACTTGGTGCGCAGCCGAAAAGGAGTGAACTTTTCCAGTTTGGTACTTGTACTTTCCTTGTCCTGTGTTCTCCTGCACTTTGTGGCCTTCGCATGTTTGCATCATGGTTACACCGGACCCGAACCCGGACTCGGATACAGCGCGACGTCCGGCCTGACTGATATCGGGAAAAATCCGGGCATCCGAGAAAAACACTCGGAGGGCGAAAACAAGAATAGAATATTATGTGAGGATCTGAGTCCTCGGCAGGCCTAAAGGGGCCCCTGTTACAGATGAGCCCGCCCTAAGTGCAGGCGGGCCTAACAAATTTCAAGAGGCCCATTTTTGGGAATTTCGTATTTGGGGTCCAGGCAGTTTTGACGCGCCAGTTGGTTGAGGGAAACACAGGCCGAGAAGCAAAAATAATCCACGGCCTTCCAGGCCTTTTTGGGAAAGGCAGGCCCTGGACAAGTTTTGCAGCCTCATAAACAGACAGTTGGGAAGCGCAACTGAACGAGGCCCAGAAGCTGCGACAGAGGCACAACATCTTGGGGCCTAACGGAAGCTTATGGGCAGAGGCCCAGGGCAGTCAAGCCACCGAGAGCAGGCAGGCTCTTTCCATATAGGAAAGAACTCGCTGCCTGGGCTGGCATTCAGGCACTTGCGAAGTGATGCGACAGCGCTGCTGGAGCAATTGCTCGCGGGCTGCTGAGCGCTAAGGGCCGCACGTGCGGTCGTGCGGGAAGCAGGGCGCTGCTGAGGGCAGTGCCATAGCCCAGCCTCTATAGCTGGATGGGCTT